TGAATTTTTAAGTGTGAGATTACGGGATGTTACCGTAAATGTAATAATATGAATTATCCAATGTGAGATATTGGGATGTTACAGTCAGCTTCTGTTTAAACTCTTCAGGATTTTGATTTTAATCTCTTCTTTCTCAAAAGATTTCTCGAGAGTCATTAGATGGTTGACAATGTGTGTAAACCTCTTCTATACATCATAGATGCTCTCCCCAGCCTTCATCCTAAATAGCTCATATTCTTGTATCAAGGAATTCTTTATGGCACGCTTTACCTCGTCTATTCCTTCATGTGTAACTTCAAGGACCTCTCACATTTCTTTTATTGTTTTGAATTGATGTCATGGGTTATTACAAAAATCGGTAATTTTCAAAACTTTCTTATAGCGCGGAAACGTATTTTCAAAAATCTCAACCTTTAAACTAACTTACTCTTTTAGAAAACTGATCAGATAAGCTTGTAGATATCACCGCCATGCTCTCTTGGACACTTTTTGATCGTCAAAGAGATTACTCAAAAGTTAGAAAGTTTAGAGAAAAGGGAGAGGAAATCTAGAAAAGGAGTTCTAGAGAAATGATACATGTTTTAAGTAATGAGACATATTTATGAAATTTTATTTATATTATTGAATTACTTAAACATTAAAATACTTGGTTTCATTATTTTAAAACACCTATCCATTCTAATACTCCATTTTATGAGTAATCACATTTTCCATTTTCAAAGTGTTTTACCTTAAATTATTTAAAAAAATATTTTTTAAATATATTAATATGTAATCAAATCTACTATAAATTTTCATTACATTTTTCATTCAGTAACAATTAACTTCAATTTCTCTTTCTTTATCTTTTTATGGTATATAGTATAGACCGAACGATTAACACCCATGACCGTTCGATCTATCCGCTACATCAACAATGTTGGACCATAATTGGACTTGCGTTTAAGTTATTGGGCCAAATATAGCAGGATAGCGCTAATGATATAATCCGGTAGGTGATATCCGATCAAAGATATTGATAAGCCGTTTATAAGTAACTAACCAAATCTAAAGGTAAGTTTAGTTTTATTTTATTGGATTTGTTCTAGTTTAAGACCCATGAGATAACTTATAAATATAAGGTCAAGGCCAAAAGCCAGGTACGTTCGATCAGAACTCAAATACTCAATTGTGATAAACAATTCACTAAACCACGCCTAACTTGAGCGTCGGAGTGCCTTTTGCAGATACCTCTTCCGGTCAAGAGTATAACCGAGCGGTGTCAAGAGTGTAACCGAGCGGCACAGATGACCCAAACTTCGAAAGGCAGGAAGCTTACATTAGAAAGGTACATCTCTCAACCCTACACATATCCCTACCGAAACAATTTTATTCTCCACTCTAGTTTTAATTTAAACAAGTAAAGTTTCATGATTATTTTACGTAACATAAGTGTACATATACAGATAAACGTTGTGTAACATTGTATGAGGAAACTCTCATGTTATAAAAATGGTTTTAGAATTGAAATCTTGTGTCCTCTGAACCTCAGTTTGTGATATATTTAATAGTTTTATATTGCTAAAAGTTAGGACGAAGGATTATTTAAATATATTTATCCTTTTCACATGTATAAAATTATGATAATATATCACATATGACGATTAATTTTAATAATATTATATCAATGTACTTGTGATTAAAAGTTATTTTAGTAATGAATCTGGTCAAACTTTATACTAATAAGCTTTTAATTTTTCTCAACTAGTTCATCTTCTCTATTTTTTTTATGCTTTTTTTTTCTATGTTTAATATCATTTCTTGATATTTAATTGTCTTTATATAAAGCTTCAAGTAAGATTCGATAACCTCCAAATGCTGAAGATCATGCTTGTTTGAGGTGCTATTTGAGGTTCATGTTCCTCAATCTATCTTAGTTATTATGTGTATAGTGCTACATTTAGTGACGGGTATATACGTAACATGTCCTACCTGCTTACCATGCTCAACTAATTGTGAAAATCCAAGACTTCAGAAACTAGGTGTTCTCAATGAGAGATTCTTATGCCACAACACCAAGTACGAATTACTTACAATCCTTTTCTTTTAATCATTTCAATTACTTTAGTAGCTTGCCAGAGAAAAGGATGTAACCTCAGAAGGTGTTCGGACTCGATCTTCACAAGTCCCACATTGACCAAATCACAAACCAACCAAGTCTTTATAAATGTTCTGACAAGGATGACAGCTCGCCGAGTTGGGTAGCGTCAACTTGTGACTCAAGTGAGGGCATTATGGTGGTGGGATAATACTGTGGCTTCTCTGGGTTGGGCTGTGTATGGCAAAATGCTGGCCTGTCCATTCCAAGTTGAGAGCTGACTCATGGGTCCTGAGCGAAGGCTTGGGTCTCTGGAGTCCTAAAGTGGAGGACACAGCGTGAGGCTGGTTTCACAGAGCAGCGAAAACCTCCCTCTCCTGACAGTGGATGGATAACAGGCCGCTGCAATCATAGTCCAGTATGCCCAGGGAGCCCAGTTTACCTAGACCGCCACCATTTTTACAACCCTAAATCCTCTTCCCTTTTCTTTCTTTATATAAATCTAATTGCTAATATGAACCTATGTTATATGTTTCTCCATTACTCCTTCCGTTCCTTTTTCTGTTCGATTTTGTTTGCGCAGGTGGTGCCCCCTGCTGTACTGGTTGTTGTGTCTCCCTCATTCCCACTGTTGAATATTCAACTCCCACCCAGGGTTGCTGTTATAAGGTTTGTTTCGTTCTTTATTGTGTTGTATCTTCTCATTCATTTCTGTTGCTGCTATATGATTTGTACATTTCATTCATTCATTCGTTTTTTTTTAGAAACTCCCATCTCGAGGGGGCTTTTGCATTGGTCCTTTGTCTGTGTCCTACGACATATACTAATCTAGCTTTTGTGTTTGGTGGAGTGTACGATCTGTTGTATTAAATGTTGGACTTTTGGGGAGATGAAATAGATACTTAATTGCCAATTCAACAAATTGTTAGATTCTTTTGTTTTGCTAAGCTTGTATCCTTTTTGCAGAGCAAAGTTTCTAGCCTATTCTACATATACCATGGGAACCAGAGGAGTAATTGGAGACAAGTGGTCCATCACAACTATTCTTTGAGCTTGTGCTATTGGAAGTGCTGTCAGTAAGTATTTTGAACCCTTGGGTTTCTGCTATTTCTTTTTTCATTGAAACTTTGTTCAATTACAATCTTCTTTTCATAACTACAAATTGTCTAGTCCTGTATAGAAAGGAAATCACAGAAAAGAGGATGCTGGCTGAAGAACTAAGGGCAACTGAGTCAGGGGGGAGCAATGGGGAAGACGGCTAAACTATATTTTGTGATAACTAGTATGTAGTATCATAGAGCATATGCAAAGTTTCAGATTTTCTGAAAGGTGTTTCTCCTTATGATTTTAAAGGTTTAATCCTTTCTCCATTTGCTAATAGTATCGACAACTTTACCTGTGGGCAAATATTCAACTGGATTTTCATTTCAAATTTGTTAAGGAAAGAATTGAAATAAGCTTTGTAACCACATTTTTAACATTTTACTAAATTAACCTGTCAAGTTACTCTTAAATTGTATATGCTTTAATGATTGATTTTGCCTACTGAAAAATATTCCTTCTTGCAACCATCATGTTGAAACTCCTGAGATGGCAGTTATGATCTTGTGAAGGTTGCACCCACACAGTTTTAAGTTTCTATAGATAACCAATCTTTTGCATTACTCTTCTCATTGAATAGGAGCACTCGATGTAAATCCCATAGCTTCGAAAGTTTTAAAGGATCGCTATTTGAAGACAACAGTTAATCCACTTGGTCATTCCAAATTTTCAGTGATGCCTAAAGTTCAATGCAAATTTGATAGCTCTATCTGAATAGTGTACCCCATATTCTAACTTTAAGCCGTCTAAATCTCTAAGGGAATCTATATCTTCCACATCTCCACAAACCAAATCTTGGCAACCTCCTAAAAGACTTTTTCCTGGTCAATTTTCTGTTGCCAGTGTTGAGATTTCTATTGTGGGAGCCAATCCGCATTACTACCCTTTGAAGCTAACTCACTTTCTCTGTCAGTTCCAGAACAACAAGTGGATTCAACCTCTTGATCAGGGTCCAAGGATCTTGGAAATCACGCTCAGAATCACTATCCCACAAAGATATTGGCTTGGTTATTGGCGACCCACTGTAGAAGTCAAAATGGGTTGCCAAACTGGTGTATGCTCCATGTCAAATAATCCCTTCATGGATGTGCTTCCTTCTTTCATCAACCCCAACAAACTGCGTGATTTATAGAGTGAGAAGAAGGATGATGAGGATGCTATTAAAGATGACAAAGAAGATGATGCTGATGACTTATACAGAGATTTTTGGTACAGTATAATACTCCCTATCTTTTCCATCTGTTTTTCTCTGTTGATAAACCAATGTGTATCTTCATCTATCTACAAGGATGCATATATAATGGACAAACGTGATGCATATGTACCAAAGATATATGTGATGCATATATACGTCCAAGATAGTTATTTTGATTTTATACAATGGACAAATCATTTGAAATTAATTATGAAGCCGGCCAAACTTGACATTTTGTGCACCTAGTTGAAGGATT